TGCAGGCCTCACAATTCAGCTTTGCTTGGTGCAGACTTTGGACTGAATGACACAGATTCTCTCCCCCCCCCCCACCAAAAACCAAACATCCCATTAAAATGCAGTCTGAATATTGTCCCCTCCCTACAGAACAACTTCAAAATGTCTACAGTGTTAGTCTGGACCTAGACATTGGAATGACGCAAAAATAGTGATTAAAGGGGGGCAGGGAATGACCCAGTTTGCCTTTAAAGATGAATCTAAAGATGAAAGAATATTGTCTTTCCAAAGACAATATACAGACTGAAATTTAATCATCCTTCAAAATTCTCACTTCTCTGAATTTTGCAACGCAATTCTCCAACCATGTAATGCATACAAGAATGCATATACCATGTGAAGTGTGCATAAGAAGCATTCTGGGAAATTACTTGCAGAGGTGTGTATATTAGGCAAAATTGCAACAAAAGTGTGCATTTTAGGAGCAATTCAAACAAACATGCTGACCAATTTTCATGAAAGAAAAAAAAACCTGATGTGGAAATATGGAGAACTGAATTTGACACACCATCCCTTCCCAAGAATAAATGGAAGGGAAGCACACCTACCTCGACAGAAGGGCAGAGGGAAGTCCCAGGAGGCAGTGTTTTCTGAACTGGAGTGACAAGTGAGCAGTGCATGACCCTCCAGAAAGAAGCCCGGGTTACAGCTGTAACGCACTTTGTCGCCAACACTGAACGTCGTCCCCTGCTGGATTCCATTCTGCAGCCTTCCTGGGTTTCCACATGTGTGACTCGGCAGAACTGAGTGGAGAGCAGGAGAAGAAGGAATGACACTTGGTTAGTCAAAAGCACCAGGCTATAATCAATCAAATGTTCAGTCCCTTCTGCAAACACAGGCTTCATTTACTGCTCTGCCCTCTTCCACCACCCTCTCGCTTGCCTTCCCATTATTCCACATCACTGAAAAGACTCAGAGTACAGGAGCAGTGTCTTGTCTTCCTCTTCCAGACCTTTCAGGTCAGGCCATGCAAAGCATCAAACAATGGGAATCGTGACATGACAACTTCTTCCTTGATAAGCTGTAATAGCTCCTAGCTCCGGGCCCAGGGTTGGTGGAAATAAGTACAGGGGTGCTATCCCCATGGTTCACACTTCATGTCTCAGCCTTCAAGGATCAAGACAGGCAACACCAAATCAATGGGAACAAAACCTGTCCGTATGTGCTCTTACCTTATCCTCATCTTGTTTTGCTTAATTGCTTATTTCCTGCTTTATGACAAACCATCGTGACATCCAATCCTTCAAACTATAACTTGCCCTTGTCTTTCAAATTACATCAAACCCCACAGATACCTTTTCTCTGGCAGCAGCTATTATTTGAAATGCATTTCCACTGGAAGTGAGTTTAGATTTAGCAACCACTGTATGTGGGTAAAAACCTAGATTTTTGGGAAAGTGTCTGCTGCTGGCTGAAGGCAAATTAATTTAGTTTCCTTCCCCTGCCCCCCTGCATACCCATATTTTTAATTGTCACTGAATGTTCTACAATATCCAACAGCAATGTTTTGCACAGTTTTCAATGTCACTTCAGCAGCACAGAACACAGAATTAGATTTTTAAGATAAATGAATAGAAAACACATTTTTATAGGAGATATTATACAAACAACTTAGATCTCTTCTAGGGAGTAACAGCTGAAAGTCTCTAGTTCCTCGAGGAGTACTTAGCTGCTAACTCAGGAGCAAGATAGATGAATAAATTCCTGTGGCAACCAGCACTTCCATGAAGACAGCCCTCTGTAGTGGAATGGGGCCCCACTATACATAATCTTTCCTTCAGTGTGGTCCAGTTGCTGACTAGGCTGTACACATGGTCAAAATCATAGAACTGTAGAGTTGGAAGGGTTCCCAAGCATCATCTAGTCCAGGCATGGCCAAACTTGGCCTTCCAGATATTTTGGGACTAGAACGCCCATCATCCCTAGCTAAGAGGATCAGTGGTCAGGGATGATGGGAATTGTAGTTCCAAAACATCTGGAGGGCCAAGTTTGGCCATGCCTGACTAGTCCAACCACCTGCAATGCAGGAACCTCAACTAGATCGTATATGACAGATGGCCATCCAACCTCTGCTTAAAAACCTCTCAGGAAGGAGAGTCCACCACCTAGAAAGTGTGGTGCTCCTGTTAAGATAGCTGAATTAGGGAGCAGGAGGCCTAGATTCAAATTCTTGCTCAGCCATGAAAAGGTTCACTAGATGACCTTCAGCAGGCCACTGTCTCTCAACCTGGCTTACCTCCCAGAATCATTATGAAAATAAAAGTGTACTCTGCCCAGAGCATTTTAGAGGAAACATTGAATCAAAATGTCATAAGTAAATACACCTATTAAGTCTGAATGTGTGAAGCTGTCAGGGCCAGCTCCAGATCTAAAGAAGGTATGGGAGAAGTGTCATCTTCTTGGCCCCTAACCAGTGGGTCCCAATGGGACTACCTGACTGCAGTGATGATGCAGTGGGTGGCTGTGTCTATAAATGTCTCAGAATATCCCAGGATGAAGTTTAGTTGTGGCATTGTAGGGAGTTAAAAGGATGGCTAAATCCAATTGCTTGGCACAGTTCAAAGTGATGGGCTAAACAAAATAAGAAATGGGGGTGGGGAAGTCATCCACAATGGGTTTCACCAGGGTGATGTGTCCCTGGCAGTTCCCATGGGTATCAAGTGCTGACACCAGCCCTGGAAGCAGTTCTGCGGGGCAATTCCCAAGCACCTAATGTATGCTGTTGTGGCTAATTGCACCTCTGCTCAACGTCCTTTAATAGCCAAATTGTTTAAATGTGCTCCTCAGTCTCTACAGACACAGCAGGTGCTGTGACTCTCTAGTGGTTTGACTTTACCCCCAAAGGCACACTCCTCCACTGTCTGCAGAGACAGACGGATGCCCACTAGAGTGTCCTGAACCCCTGGCCTACCTGGCAGCAAGTCAGTATGTCAAGCCCCCAGTCCAGGGTCAAGCCACACATTCAAAGTCCAAACTGAAGCACAGTCCCACAGAGATCCTGGAGCATCCAAGCTGAGGTCCATCAACATGGGTAATTGAGTAGACACAGCTCTGCTGCCCTTCTATACTTTGCATGCTGACTGCAGCATCTGGACTTGATGAGGCAGGCGACCTTCACCTGTTCCAAGCTTACTTCAGCTGAGAAATCATACTCCTCCTCCCAGAGCTAGCGAGCCCCACCTGGCCAGCTACTGAGCTGGGTTTTGGGCCCTTGCCTGCCTGAGCCTCCTGGAATGCCTAGCCCATTGCTTCCTATACATTAGCACCAGCCATGTTCATGAAGATGTTCCCCTTTGACTCTGGTGATGGGTCCTGCTTCTCTAGTTCTGTCACCCTATGAGTACTTCCTACACCAACCTCTCCTTCCCCAGCTTGCCCCTGTGTGTCCCAATCCCAGCTACACCCCTCACTGGGATTCTCTTCCTCCTCCCTGTAGTTCTGCCAGTTCATGACACAGAGATACCACCAAGAATGACTGCATTACTGTGGCACCCCATCACATGGGAAATGAGGCAAGAATCCTCCAGTGCTCCCACAAATAGGGGCACCATTTAAAATGAACAAATGGTTTGAGGAGCAGCACAAAATGAGCACTTCATTTTCTGCACTGACACTCCAGTACCCAATTTAATTATATCATTGATGTCATTTTTAAAACAGCAGCAACAAAAATTGAACCTGTTCCCGGCTTTTGAGCCTTCTTCGTTTGAAATTAATGACCGAAACGTCACTCCAAGTAAAAATCTATCTTCTTTTTTTTCTTAAAAAAGGTCACCACTGAACACTCTCTGCTCTTTACTTAATGAACTGTTAAGATAAGATGCAGGTTGAGGCTGCTTGCTTCTTTACACATAATATTTGGAAAACTAGAATCTCGTTTACAAATTCCGCCTCATTTGCCTCTTTTAGCAAATGTGATATTCACTTCTAGACAACATGCACATCCTGAGGGCTTGGGTGCACATTACAACGTTGTAAAATGCACATCAGTGTAAGCTGGCTATGGGCAGGGCTGGGGCTGCAGACAGGTATATCCTTGCCTAGTAAGTGTATTCCCTAACTGAGAACCTCAGCTTATGCAGGAATCTGAGACCCAGAAGACAGAAAGTTCTGTTCAGTTGACCAGATCAGAAGACCATGTTCCTCTTATTTACAGCAAGCATAGCCAATCCTGGGATTTTATATTGTCTGCCAATCACAGGTGCTGATACTACTCCAGGGTTCATAGGCCACTTCTGGCTAACTCATTAGGCTAGGACCCAGCCTTACGCTGTTAGGTTTAGCCCTGTATCCCATGATGGTATACACAGTATGTCTTTCCTTTAGGTTAAGCAGGTGGGGAGGGTCTGTGGTCCTTGGGATGTTGTGGTACCCCAACTCCCATCAGTCTCAACCAACACAGTCAATGTTCCAATAAAATTTGGAAGGTCATGAACTGTCCACCTCTGGATTAGAGGCAAATTGGAATTAACCCCTGCTGACCATTCCCTGTCTCTAGGAATGTGTTTACAGCAGGTGTTGACCTTTCTTTTCTTTTCTTTTTTTGAGAACCACATTTTTTTGAGGGCATCTGCCAGCAGCAAAGCCAGAGAAGAACTGCTCTGGATTAATGAAGTGAAGATGCCTTTCCTTCAGTTTTCACTATGGCCACCTCAGATTAGAACTCTCAGGTCCATTGTAGGCCTATTCAGAAGAAGCGACTCACATGAAAACAGTGCTGAGTGACAGGGGAATGGGGATGCCATGAGAAATCGTACAGGAACTTCCACAGAAATCTCCACCCTGGTTCATACTTTTGTTGCGGTGTGTTCAAATGGGGCCCTGTTCAATCCACACTGCATGTGTGCTTGCCATCACATCCACCTTCACAGATCCAGAAACATACCCAGGAAGTGGGCAGGATAAGAGAGAGAAGGCAGTGGGAAAGGTGCCTTCTTTGAAGGGTCTTCTTTTACATGAAGGACCATGGCTCAGTGGTAGAGCATCTGCCTTGTATACAGTAGGTCCCAGGTTCAATCCTCAAAATCTCCAGGGAGGACTGGGGATGCCCCCTATTTGAAACCCTGCAGAGCCACTGCCAGTCAATGTAGACAATGCTGAGATAGATAGATCAAGGATCTGACTTGGTATACGGCAGCTTCCTGTGTTCCTGCATGTGCCTTGCTTGGAGTACATGCAAAAATGTAACTCTGCATGCTCTTGTTCTGAGCACATGAAAAGGGCCCTTTGTGCATGCCCATCCTCTCTCCCCTCTTCTTTCCTTCCCTGCTTTCATAATTCCACATGCTCACTCAGTGATGGTGAGCTTTTGGGCCAAGGAACAGTATATTTTCATGTTTTATAATGCAGTGTAAATCACACCAAGAGTTCCTGGGATACAGCAGCATATAAACTTAAATACATAAAAATTCCACCACCACAAATGTCCTCTGAACTAATATTATTGCTTACGTTTGCCTGATTGTCAGAGCTGTCCCATTTTCAGCTGCTGCTGAGATTAAGGCATAGATATTATTTATTATATCAGATGCTGTGCAGTGTAATAATAACATCAAGCCTTTGGATCCAGCCAATTTCCAGTTCCTCTACAGCCTTTGGAAACAGGTCCCCCTCCATAAAAGCTTTTCTGCTAACAACCAACCAAAGAGTCTCCCTTCCCGTAATTATATGGAAGCCAAGGCAGGCAAAAGACAGAGATAGATACAGCTGCATAAAAGCCCTGTTTATTGGCTCGCAAATAAAAATCCAGTTCTCTGCCTGATGCATCAAATTAATGGATGTAGAAAAGAAGAAAACCTTTGGGAGTTGTCAAAAGATTTGCTGAATGTTTTAAAAGCAGGGAGCAAAGGGGTATACGTGCAGTTATTTGCTCAGTGATGTCTCCTAGAACAGTTGGAGGGGGGGAGGGAAAAAGGACCACTTTGGATGTTTTAAAAAAGATGGGGAAAGATGAAAATGCTTACACACCTGCCTCTGTAATGTCTGAATGGCCACAACTGCTGAGAGGAATGAGACCTTGTCAGCATATAACAGCTCTGCTCAGACACCAGGGCAGCTTGTTGATTTTCTCCCAGGCCAAGTTCAAGGTGTTATTATTAGTGTATAAAGTCCCCAAGAGCTTGGAGCCAGTTTATGTGTAAAGATGCCTTACCCCATCTTTAGCCCAATTCACTGCTTCGATCAAACTGTTACAGGTGCCACATAATATTTGTTCCACACTTGTAAGAAATTGATCTTTTAGTGTGGCACCACCTACGCTTTGGGACATATTATTTATTTCTCCTCTGCTTGCCCCCCTCCCTCAAAATGACAAAGACCTCATGTTCACATATAAACAGGGAAGGGAGAGGAGAAAGGCAAACAGGAACAAGAAAATTCAGGCACTAAAACTTTCTAGCAGGATGGCTATTCAGGGTGCCCTCTGAGATTATGGAGGGGAGCCCTGTTTTTTCACCTCTCCCTCTGCCACAGCAGGTGGAATGGTGGCTGCCAGGTGGAATCCAAACTCTAGCCAGAAGCAGCCCAAAGGGCACATATGCCTGGCCATTTTTGATCCTACAAGCTTGAAGCTGATTTCCTTACAAAGTTGAGAAAGATGCTTCCTCCCGTGTTTCTCACATAAAGAAATCTGGCAAGAACAACACCATCTCAGATAATTTTCAGTGGGAGAAAACTACCCCCTGCTCATTTACCATTCCGATTAAATGTCTTCCCCAGTTTCTCTCCAGATCAATCTACAGTTCTGTCTCCATCCTCTTCTGCACAGCTTGCACATAGATATCCATTCCTCAGCCTTGCTTATTGCCTTATTTACATGGCTAAAAGAAATACTTTATTGCCTGAATTACTTGTGGCAGCCTATGACAGCTATATTTTAAACACCATTGTGGATCCAACCTTGAAGCTTTATCAGTGAGAGAAACATCCTTTGCCTTTAGGAAATAAGGTTCCCACACAACTTCCTCAATCATCAGCCAATTCACTTTCGAAGAGCGGGGGCGGATGAAGCTTCCTCAAATTCATTCATTCATTCATTCAACGTACCCTCACAGTTAAGGACTTAGGTCAGGTCAAAATACTGAAACTTCAGATTAACTGAAAAGCACCCTTTAATAATAATTAATGATAATTCAAATGAAAAAACCAAGGACTTATGCATATAAGGAAAGGAGTGTTATTTGCTGCTTTAACAGTCTTCTTCAACTCCCCACCCTGACCAAAAAGGAAAGAAAAGCCAGTATGTTTGGAGAACATACAATCTGTATGCCGAGAGAGGGAGAGGAGAATCTTTCAACACATTTGCCCTTTAAAAAGTGCAATGTTTTAATAATTATTAAGTTTAAAAAAATAAAAACCGGTCAGATTCTCTAGAGAAAAATACATTTTCTTCTCCTTTTTTTTTTGCTGAACCAGATATAAAATGCAGTATGTAATATATATGTATGATAATGAGGCTGCAGAACAGGGGGGGGGGAGGGGAGAGGAAAGGCTATCCTATCCCTACTGCTGAGAGACTAGTTGTCTTTAGTCCTCCATAAGCTGCCACCTAGAAGGAGCCATTACATCAGATGCCCTGGGTTCCAAGTTGGTGGTTACAAGAACTGTTGCCTGAGCTGACTTGCCTTCTACCTCTCCACCCTTTCCCCCTTGTGTGTCATGTCTTCAAGACTGTAAGCCTAAATAAGAAATAACATTCTTATTACTGGTGTTTGCAAGATGCTCTGGCGGGAACCTTTTTGGCTAAAGCATGGGATAAAGGTGCTCTAAATCACAAATACTTGGGGGAGAACATTTGGGCTTGAGGGAAAGTCAGACCATTGGTCCCACAACAACTGTCACTGTGAGTACACTGGTTCTCCAGCACCTTAGGAATAAGCAACCTTATGTCAAGCCCTTCCAGGTTTCCTGAGTAATACACACAAATGGATATGCATTTGGAAGCTGAGCATCTTGATAATGAAGAGTAGGATGGATAGAGCCTTTCTTTGCAAGTGTTATTCCTCCACCTACTGCTATGCAAAGTGGCTATGAAAAATTTTAATGGGAGGTGCCTATCATTGACCCCAGAGCTTTCTGCATGCAAACAACATGCATGGCCATTCATCTACAATGACCTCTGTACAAAAAAGCTACCACCTCTAAAAACACTTAAGCCATACTAGCTTTGTCGGCAGATAAATTTGTTTTCCCCAATCTGTGGCCATAATTCTTGGCTAAGTAAGGCTGTGGCTGTTTGAGAGCCTTTTATCTCGATCTTCATGTGATGTGTTTCAGTGCCAAAGCAAAGTTTTTTAACCTTCAGAATAAGTGTCCAGTGAGCTCTAGAGAAGAGGAAATAAATGGTATCTTTTTTCATTTCATTTTATCCCCCTTTTATGTCATGATTCATTTCCAGTATGGCCAAGAAAGCTAAAGCTAAATGGAAACTATTTTCTCGCTCTTCTCTATTTCTTTGTTCACTAAAAACAACAACCAGAAAGACACTTTCCCCCTTCTCCCTCTCTCTCCACCCCCACCCTCAAATGTAATGGTTTTGAATGCGACATCATCCATCTTGTAGATATGGGGAGGGAAGGGGGGGTATGTGGGGGAAAAAACACTTTTTCCAATTTTCCACTTCTGGAATCTGCCAGCACAGGAGAGGAAATTGAAAGTACAAATCGAACAAAATCCTAGGCATGGTTACTTGGAACACAGCCCTACTGCATTTGATGGGGATTACTCGCTAATTGAGACGTCAGAAAATTCCAACGAAAACAGAAACAGGAGCAGAAATTAGCAGTGTTCGCTTATTCGTTCCAGCCAAAATCATCAGTATTCATGGTTGCTTTCATTTTGCAGATAATATGCAACTGATTACCTTTTCTGCATTTGCATTGTGTTATCTTTGCACTGAAATCAATGGGGTGGAGTAAGACAATGCCAACATACATAACGTAATTAGGTAACTTACCTAAGTTATGTAATTTCTCCAGAGCAGACAGCCAGGCGAATATTGTAAATTTTCGCAGAAGATGAACTGCAATGGAATGGAAATAGTGCTGCATGCAACAAATACAGCAGGGGATAGAAGGCAATGCCTTCTTACATCCCTACTCCTCAACGCATGTTTTTAGAACTGCCGCCACAATGATTTCTCACAGAAATAGCATTCCTTCTAGTCCATGGCCATGACCTCCAGGATACCATTAGACCCCAGATGTTTACTCTCCATTAAGAGTAACACACCCACACACCAGGCCACCAAGTTCTTTACCACAGAGAACCTGAATGCTTGGAGGGGACTAGGGATGTTCCTGCAGTCTAGGACCCTGGTAGTTGCCACTGCAGCACAGATGTTCCTCCTTAACAAACACAGTGACAGGCATACAGAAACTTCAGGATGTTTAAATAAACTTGAGCAATGTGCTCAGAGGAATTCCTCCCAGGCAGAACTCGGCATCTATGGGCAGATGTCAGGGTCCCAGCAGCCTGGGACAGTCTATTGCAAAAGCCTGCCCTAAGCCTGTATTTACTCATGAGCTTTCAGAGGACAGTTTGCTATTTAAAGGTGTCCACTATTTGTGGGCTGTCCAGTCCAAAGCTGGTTTAAAGGTAAAGAACCATCAAAAGAAAGAAACAGGAGTCACCCAACACAAGACACACAAGCCACTGGAGTGAGATGTACTTTGTTTCTATTTAAATTACACTAATTGCTACTAAATATGTGTCTATACATATTAATTACCATAAGCATTTTTTTGTCCTTTACTGGTGAAAATCCTCTTTTCTGGCAAAAGTAAATTTTCCTGGGAAACTTTGCTCATCAAATTCTTAGGTTTCTTTAAAATCTTCAGATGATTTTCCTGAGAAAGAACCACTAAACTTGCTTTTCTCAGTTATATTGCCTGAGCCAGAACCTCCATATTTGCCCCCAAATGAGCTAGCAAATAGCCGCATGGGTCAACAAACATTGCCTTCTAGGATTCTAGCTATCGGACATGATCAGAACATTTTACACCTTGATTTGCCAGCAGGGGGAAGACAGGGAGACAGAGGTT